GCATATCTGTAATTCCACTGTTCCACAAGTTCATTTTACAAACAACTCGCACCAAAGTCACCCCTGTAATAAAGAATAATCGAGCTCATCTTCCCCGTATCGTCACGCTTCTTCACCATATATTTTTCTCTCTCTACAAAACTCCGTTATATATACTTTGACTCTATCTTTCCGACGTCAGTCTCTCTCTGGATTCTAGATTTGTGATTTTTTAAGGGTCACTGAAGCAGAGGGAAATGGGGCAGCAGTCGTTGATCTACAGCTTCGTGGCGCGGGGGACAGTGATCCTTGCAGAGTTCACGGAGTTTACGGGGAATTTCACTAGCATAGCCTCGCAGTGCCTACAGAAACTCCCCGCTACCAACAATAGGTTCACCTACAACTGCGATGGTCACACTTTCAACTACCTTGTTGAGGATGGATTCAGTAAGCGCTTCTCCCGATCTATTGATTAATCTGTTGAATTTCCTGTTCAGTCGGGTATTTATATATTCGATGTATGGATGCATATATTCTTTTTTCTTTGCGTGTTCTGTTCTATTACTTTTTTTATTCGAAGCTTAAATATTAGTTAAATTTGAAAGTTATTTTTAAGAATCAGCCCTTGAAATAAGTATTTATTTGGGACAGCGGTCATAAAATTCCACAACTAGTCAATCTGATTTTTCTGTTTGTTTTAGATAAAAACAATTGATAGTCATAGAGATCTCACACTGTTGATTTCATCCTTTTCATTTTTGCCATACTAATCTAGTTTTCTGTGCACTCTGGTTTGTATTATGCTGCGGAATGCTGGTTAATCAAATATGGAAACTCCCCTTCCCCCTCACACCTGAAGCCCCAGCCCCACCCCAGCCCCATGTATTACTGCTCAGTAATTGTTCTGTTCGGCCTCACTGTATGGTCATGCAGAAATTGAGAAATTGCCTGGGTTACCTTTTGAAATTAATATTTTGAAATTAATATAGTGTTATACGTTTCCATAATTAAATTTTAAAGTATGAAACTGCAGGAAGTTATTGAGGGTTTTTTATTTTCTTATTTTACTGGGGTGAGCTTTACTATTTTTTACTGTTAAGTTTTCTAATTAGTAATTGCAATCAATGCCTTGCTGTTGAAATTCTTATGTCTTTTAGAGTTTTTGTATTTTTTCTTAAATGAAAGTAACAACCTTGATTTCAATATACTGTAAACTGTTTAACATGGTAACTACTATCAATTTAGTATATTAGAAATTTGGTATTAGTTTCTACTAATGTACAGTTGACAGTAATTTAAATAGATTTCTAAAGTTCCATCCTTCCTATTGGTTTCTTGATTTCTTAACTCTTGTTAAACCTTTGACCATGCATCTTTACATTGTTGAAAGAATGCAGTTTTTAATGTATGCTATATTTAACTCCACGGCCAGCCACATTCATTTTCTTCTTCTACGTTGCTCTACCTGTTTATATTTTGAATTTATCGTATATTTTTATAGTGATTTTCTTCATGTTTCCTTTTTATATTATCTTGTAGTGGAAGTGTCATGAATTGCATTTTGTTTTTGCTTTGACTTATGTAGGCCATTGCTTGCCATGCTTATTAATTTTGAATTAACCTGATTTCAATAATTCCATTCCATCTTTCCCTCATCTTTGAAAACTTAAATGACTGGAACTTTTGCATAGATTTTGACTGATTTTCGCAAATAGCAACTATGCAGAAGAAGAAATAAAGTTGTCAAGTTTTTATAATCTTTCACCTAGAAAGGTAGATCAGTTTGCTTGAAGATTAACAACTATGCAATACACGAACTCTATCTTGTCTGTCCCGGTCTTATGTTATTTTTGTTTTTCTTTTTCTAAAGCTGGCCTAATTTTTTCTATATCTGAATGACAGCGTATTGTGTTGTTGCTGTTGAATCTGTTGGCAGACAGATTCCTATGGCATTTCTTGAGCGAATTAAGGAGGATTTCACCAAGAAATATAGTGGAGGAAAGGCTGCTACAGCTGTTGCTAACAGCCTGAATAGAGAATTTGGGTAATCTCCATATAATTATATTTCATTCTCTTTTTAGGCGGAGAGTCTACTACAACTGTTAATTGCATGAATTGAGAGTTAAGGGTTGATGTTTCTTTTCCACCCTGAAGCTATGCCCCTGTTTGATTTGGCTTAAAACGAATTAGAATCTAAGTCAAAGTCAAAAATTAATTATAATCATACATGTCATGAACGTACAACTTTTCAACCACACATTCTATCTACTTTTATCAAAATCTACTACAAAATTGATTTTTATCTACGAACTAATAGGGGCTATATTTCTTTCCTTTTTTGTTTTTTGATTTTTTTGGGATAAAATTTCAATTAATGAATGCTGTCTATCAAAATCATGACAAATATTTAGGCCCAAATTGAAGGAGCAAATGCAGTACTGTGTGGATCATCCAGAGGAGATCAACAAGCTTGCAAAGGTAAAGGCTCAGGTTTCAGAAGTCAAAGGGGTGATGATGGAAAATATTGAGAAGGTAAAGTGCATTTAACATTTTTTGTATTTATTAGTCCATCTTGTGAGATTTCTACAATCAAGCGTATGATGATGTGAGAAGACTAAGATTCAGAAATATGGTGCAAATTTTGTCATTGAGGCTTTTGTGTCTGCAGGTTCTTGATCGAGGAGAGAAAATTGAGCTTCTAGTGGATAAAACTGAGAATCTTCGATCTCAGGTTTGTAAACGCACGTGCATTTCTTCCTTTGCATGAAGAGTCTTGAACATTATGTTTTGAAAAGCTCATTTGACTATGAATTCTACTAGTGGACTTGGGGATTAGCTATCTAATGAGATGCTACCTTTAGAAGCCATGTAAAGTAACAGTTTTCAATGAAATTACATTTAGGGGTTATAGTTTTAATATTTCTGTGTGTTTGGACTTGACAGCAAGGTATATAGCTCAATGATGACAATGTTAGTGAAGAAAAAGTATGAAAACATCAAAAGTAGAGGTACAATGCTGATAGAGCAATTAGTTACATTTTGTGCCTTGGATCTATGATGAATTCTTCTGTGTAGTCTAGATTTTATTAGATTCTATCAAATGCTTAAGTGCCATCTGGTCTAGGTTTTACAAGATTATTTCTGTTAATTACTTTAGGATCAGCCCCTTAATTTTGAAATTTGGATTTAGGTTTCTGGTTTGTCTTTTTATGATAGACAATGGTATTGAATTTTATTAGTTTGCTAAGCTGATGGGCTCTGAAGCCATTTGGGCATGAGCAACTCTTTAACTGGGATTTTTTAGCTTTTATAAATTTCTTCATGAAATTCCTTGGGGATTTCACAATTCTATGGAATTTGTTAATTTGCCGCATTTCAGCCTTTGCCCTCAGATTTTAAATTATTGCACTGTTGTCTATTAGATGATGCTATGAGCATTATGGCTTTATTTCAGGCGCAAGATTTTAGGACACAAGGGACCCAGATGAGGAGAAAGATGTGGTTTCAGAATATGAAGATAAAACTTATTGTCCTCGCCATCATCATCGCTTTGATTCTTATCATTGTATTATCAGTTTGCGGTGGATTCAAATGTCATTAGTGTGTGCATGTATCCTCAAACATGTTACATTAACCCGGTCCTTCATGAACACGTGTTGAGCTATTTTTCACAGATTTCGTGTTTATTTACATCTTTTTTTCCCTCACATGTATTGCTCTTGCTAGTCTCAATTTTTGGGACAATGCTTGTATAGTTTGTGTATATGAATCTTCTTGAATATACCGGTGCTATGTCCTTGCTTGTCCTGAACTAAAGGAGAGAGGCAATGCTTTATGTTACACACCTGATCTAACCGCTTTGGAACAAAGGTCACACCACTCTTCGAAGTGATAGATACCCATCCGAAGTTCGGAATAAAGGTTATACCACTCTTCGAAGTGACAAGTATCATACGAAGTGGGACGACCTCAACATGACACGCTGCATGGTGAAGAGTAGATCCACTGAAGTAATCGAAGTGTCCCTCAACTTCGAAATTTTGTGCGCTTCGAAGTACCCTCTTAGTAGATCTCTCCACCGCTACTGTCAGAAAGATATCTGTTAGGATCTTCTCTGCCTCCGAGGATCAATCGATGTAACGTCTCCATAGATCTAGTTGATGTAACATATCGACTTTAGGTCAACACAACTCAGAAGAGCTAATTGACTGTCCGCTCTAGACGCGGTCGATTGATGCCTATGAACAGGCGCTTTACGCCGTCAGATGCATACACGTGTCCCACATTCAACGGTACGCCACGTCTATAAATACCTAAGGTTTGACAAGAGAAAAGGTAATGAAACTCTCATAACTTAGCTCTCCACACTAAAAAATATATATTCTCCTCCCCTTTATGCGACCGTCGCCACCACCGCTGGTTTCAGCCTTGTGCTTCTGACCGTGCGTTATTGTGCTCAAGGAAGATTACGTGGAGTTGCTACCTATTGGCCACGTGGAGGGTCCAATTATCGAGGTCAACAGATTGACGCCGTCCGTGGGAAACTTTCCATCCAAAAAATTCCACATTGCCCGTCGGAAAAACCACCGGCAAACTATTGACTTATCCTGAAAAGGGCAAATTCTTGAAAAAGAACAAAGTCAACCTATAATGTTCTTAGCACCCTTGAAAAAGTAGACAAAATGAGTTATAGTAATGAAGATGCAAATTTTGAAGGGCACAGGGATGCCTCTGAAGAAGAGGTAATTAGGACCAATGTCATGGTTCGGAGACCCCATCACCGGCGTCACCGAGGCAAAAGGACAGCAGCGCTCATTGAAGGAATGACTCAAATAACTGTCGAAATGAGGGACATTGCTACTCAGAATGTGGCGATGCGTGAATTTTTCATGCAGGCCTGAGGTCATTAGGGCTTCCAGATGCCTCAAGCATCATATTCAACTCAAGAAATTCCTGCGCCTCATGACCGAGGCCATTCGAGCCAGCATCGGGCACACCCCCTTAAAAGGGAAGTGGGTGTGGATGTGACGTCCTACGCGCAGGGAAGCCAACCAGCAGAACCACCTCTAGGAGAGAACTTTCCACCAGAATACGAACCACAAAGTTCTGTCAGTGTTTTCAACAGAATAGGGCAGAACCCTAGCAATAGGGTTCGCTCCGTACAAAGATCAGTTGGCTACGTGGAGGGTCCAATTCTTGAGGTCAACAGATTGACACCGTCTGTGAGAAACTTTCCATCCAAAAAATTCCACATTGCCCGTCGGAAAAACCACCGGCAAACCATTGACTTACCCTGAAAATGGCACGTTCTTGAAAAAGAACAAAGTCAACCTACAAAGTTCTTAGCACCTTTGAAAAAGTAGACAAAATGAGTTATAGTAATGAAGATGCAAATTTTGAAGGGCACATGAATGCCTCTGAAGAAGAGGTAATTAGGACCAATGTCATGCATCGGAGATCCCATCACCGGCGTCATCGAGGCAAAAGGACAGCAGCGCTCATTGAAGGAATGACTCAAATAGCTGCCGGAATGAGGGACATTGTTGCTAAGAATGTGGCGATGCGTGAATTTTTCATGCAAGCCCGAGGTCATCAGGGCTCCCAGATGCCTCAAAGATCATATCCAGCTCAAGAAGCTCCTGTGCCTCATGACCGAGGCCATTCGAGCCAGCACCGGGTACACCCCCTTGAAAGAGAAGTGGGTGTGGATGTGACGTCCTACGTGCAGGGAAGCCAACTAGTAGAACCACCTCTAGGAGAGAACTTCCCACCAGAGTACGAACCACAAAAGTCTGTCAGTGTTTTCGACAGAATAGGGTAGAACCCTAGCAATAGGGTCCGCTCCGTACAAAGATCAGTTGGCCACGTGGATGGTCCAATTCTCGAGTTCAACAGATTGACGTCGTCTGTGGGAAACTTTCCATCCAAAAAATTCCACATTGCCCGTCGAAAAAATCACCGGCAAACCATCGACTTATCTTGAAAAGGGCACGTTCTTGAAAAAGAACAAAGTCAACCTACAAAATTCTTAGCACCTTTGAAAAAGTAGACAAAATGAGTTATAGCAATGAAGATGCAAATTTTGAAGGGCACAAGGATGCCTCTGAAGAAGAGGTAATTAGGACCAATGTCAAGCATCGGAGACCCCATCACCGGCGTCACCGAGGCAAAAGGACAGCAATGCTCATCGAAGGAATGACTCAAATAGCTGTCAAAATGAGGGACATTGCTGCTTAGAATGTGGCGATGCATGAATTTTTCATGCAGGCTCGAGGTCATCAGGGCTCCCAGATGCCTCAAGGATCATATCCAGCTCAAGAAATTCATGCGCCTCACCATTCGAGCTAGTTTCGGGCACACCCCCTTGAAAGAGAAATGGGTGTAGATGTGATGTTCTACGCGCAAGGAAGTCAACCAGCAGAATCACCTCTAGGAGAGAACTTCCCACTAGAATACGAACCACAAAGATCTGTCAGTGTCTTCGACAGAATATGGCAGAATCCTAGCAATAGGGTCCACTCCGTACAAAGATCAGCCTGGCAAGGGCAGGAGCAAGAACAAGTACCTCCTCCGCCTAGGAATAGACGAGAGAGGAGAAACCTAGTGGATTGTGATAGTCGAGAAGAGACACCCCTACTTCCCCAAAATACATTAGAGGGGGAAGGCTCTGAAGGGCCGTGTCGCTCTTACGAAATTGATGACGATGATGACAACCTCCCATTCTCCAAAGAAATTTGAAGCTTTCCGATACCTGCAAATTTCATGCCCCCTAAAATCCCAAAGTATGAAGAAAAGGGGGACCCACAGAAACACCTGACTAAGTACATGACGCAGATGAGTCTTAGAGGGGCCTCACTAGCGCTAAAATGTAGGGCCTTCCATCTAACCCTCACCGGAGTTGCCGAAGTGTGGTATAGTAGGTTGCCATCCCTAAGCATCAGAAGCTGGTCAGACTTGAAAAAGGCAATTCTTAACCAATACATTCTACGAAGGGAAGGAGAGGCTCCAGTGTAATGCTTGCAAGATATGAGAAAAGTTCCTGGCGAGACGCTGAAAAGTTATCTCGCCAGATTCACTGACGAAAGCACATATTGCGAGCAAGTCATTGATAGAGAGGCCCTTTCAGCTTTGAAATGTGGTCTCAACATAAACACTTTGTTTTGGAGGGATGCACATAGCAAGAATCCCACTACCTATGACGAATGAGTGGAAATGATGAGGGTGAAGATTGTCAATGAAGAAATGATTGACCATCGAAATCGTGCAGCGCAGAGACTCCCTCCATCTCAGCGACAGGTAGGTCGAGGATCGACATCACACCTCGTCACCCAACAATGGCTCCAAGCAGGTTACACAGTAACCCCCACATTCGGGGCAGGCATTGGCTTCAGCCACTCTAAATGCAGTATCAGTGCTAGCATATGAAAATGCTCGTGCCGAAGTAGGATCATCCGGGGGAACAAACAATCGAAAGGAAAAAAAGCGACCAAACAAGCCCCTGGAAGGGGTAAGGTTCTGCACCTTTCACCAACTTTACGGACAGGACACCAGCAAATGTAGGGATGCTCCTTGATCCTCAAATCGGAGGAACCCGCGAAGGAAAGAATACCCCCGCAGGTCTACCTCCCCGAATAGGGGAGAAAGGCGACATAGAGACCAATCGCGCACAAGAAGTTCACCACCCCCATTGTGATGCGTTAGTGGTAAGAGTCGTAGTGGCTCGAAACGGGCTCAAACGCATGCTCATGGACAATGACAACTCGGTAAATATACTGTTCGGATCCACCTTTGATAAAATACAAATTGAACACGAGTTGATCCCCATGACCGACCCGCTATTTGGGTTTACTGGCGACAACATCGTCCCATGAGGGCGAATTACTCTACCCGTCGAGATGGGGTTAGCCCCCTAGTGGCTCACCACTTCATGGAGTTATTGGTTGTGGACCACATATCAGCTTTCCATGGAGTATTGGGTCGATCCGCCTTGAAAGATCTTTGGGCGGTTACTTCCATCCATTACTTGTGTATGAAGCTTCCAACTATGTAGGGGATTGCTACAGTGCGAGGTGACCAAATGGGTTCAAAGGCATGTTACCTCAACTCTCTACAAAAATTCGAACCCCGCACTATTAATATCATCATAATAGGCGCCGATGAAACCAACATGGACATAGAAATGCTCGAGGCCCCCAAACAAGGGCATACCTTCGAATAGGAGGAAGACGTCGACATGGTAGAGGCCCCTGAAGAAGGGCACCCTCTTGATGAGTTAGATCCTCGAATTATCGAGTTCGAATCAAATGTGACTCCAATGGAAGAACTGGAAACTTTCCCCATTAGCCATGAAGACCCCACTCAGGTCTTGCGGATAGGGAAAGCGCTACCCCCCGAAGTGAAAGAAGAAATGATGAACTTCCTGAAAAGGAACCTAAATGTCTTCGCCTGAAAGTATGAGGACATGGTGGGAATAATCCAAGGGTCAGTTGCCACCACCTTAACATCAACTCCTCCTGCGCCTCACGTCTGCAGAAAAGACGAGCCCTCAATTCAGAGCGATATGAGGCACTTAAAGAAGAAGTCGACAAACTCAGTTGGAGCGGCTTTATTAGAGAACCTATCTATCCGAAGTGGATATCAAACTCGGTCCTCGTAAAGAAACCTAGCGAGAAATGGAGGGTGTGTGTAGACTTCACAAATTTGAACA